ACCTTTCCCAGCGAGGCTTTTCTATATATATAAATGAATAGCAGCTCTTTTTTTTTTTTTTATTTAGAATAAATGCATACCAATCATCGACACAACAACGCGGCGGCATTGTAACAAAGCGGTTTACTCGATCTCACATGTCACTTTCCGTATAGGTGAAGTGACAACGCTTCCAAGCCTACACATTCTAATTTTGCTGCCGAGATGTAAAAGTGCACATCTGAGGTTACAAGCTCCTCCACTGTTCTTTTTGGATTCCATTACAATGAGCAAGGAGAATGTGCACGTCGACACTGTGTTTGTGTACTTGTAGCAAGTTTCGCTCCCTTAAAAATATACGCCTCTGGAGGGGAAGAAAAGCAGTTTTTTGGTAGCTTCTGCTTACTGTGCTTCCTGAGAGCACTTGAATAACAAGACTTGACATGTCATAGCTAAAGAAATACAAAACCCTGGTTTCTTGTTGTTTTTCCTCACAGCGGATGACAACCACAGAATACATTCGCACCCGGTTATTATACTGATAGCCACCACAGACGCTAATGTCTGCTCAGATGTGGGGTACTTCTTCTTCTTCTTTTTTTTTCCTTTCCTTGGAACTTCTTTAGTCATTTACCACATAAACTGTTTGCAGGGACCGCATATATACCATTAATATCACTCCTCGCACACTCCCAAACCATAGTAGCTGTTTTTTTTTTTTACTCCCCCCCCCCCGTTATCCCTCCGTGAGCTGTGGGTCTCTCATATTTGTTCGCCATCGATCATAGCGGTGTGGCGCGCACGCTGGAAAGCAGCCGGTGGGGAGAGGCAGCATTTGCAATCAAACAGAGAGGAGCAGTGTGAAATCTCAGGAAGAGGCAGCTTCCCCCATGCCCGTGGGCAGGGGATCAGACGATGAGGAAGCCTGCCTCAGACACTCAACACCTCCCACTGGCACCCTGATGCAAGCAGCATGCAAACCCACCCCTCACATGTATCTGTCAGCCGGGGGGGGCGGGGTGGGGGGGGTTAAGCTCTGTGTGTACCCCCACTCTGTAACTGCACTGTGGAGTGCATGTTATGTTACTGCAGCCGAGGTGCTTTTAGAAGCTCTGCTAAGGTTCACTCTGAGTCGCTGATGTGCTACTGAAGGTGGCAGAAGGTAGAAATTACTGTTTTTCTTTTTCGCGATATTGCTTTAAGCGAGCAGATGGGACTGGCCTAATATAAAAAAAAAAAAAAAGGAGAAAGCTACAGGTGCAATCTATCTCCAAGTCTACAGGAAAAAAAAAAAGAATTCTGTTGTATAGAGAGGAAGAAATGTCATTGAGTCACCGCTCTTCAAAACCAAATCACAAGCTCTCTAAATCCAGTCAGCCTGTTTCAGCCACTGGCATAATAGTGCTGTGGTTTGCCCATCTGTTCTCCATTGTCCACCTTGGCTTTCCATCCATGACATACACGACTATAAACTCTAAAGGGTTTGTTCCAGACTGTGAGCAGATTTATTTCAGGTATAGGTGCAGCAGAAAACAGGGTTGAGTGGGTGAGAAAATACCAATTTTCCCACAGTGCCTTTGGCTGCTCCCTCAACTCGTGGTTGACTCATTTGCTTCATCATGTCCACCAAATATTCAAACAATGATCGTTTCAGCTCAGCGTGGGAGCGTGTTTTGATGTGTGGAGCGGACAGTATTCTGCCACACTGTAAGCGGACTGTACTACGGCTACAGATGGTTAATGGCCGCAGCAAAAGGCAGACACAAAAGTGTAATTATCAGTATTGATTTTTTTTTTTTTTTTTGTGGAAATGGATTTGAGTGTGACAGAAAGGTCAGTGAAAGCAAATGTAAAAACTTGTGCTTTCACAAATGATACACCCTATCATTACACGCTGTCTTAACCGCACAATAACTAATTCATTATGATTACATGTTGGAAAAAACTGTCGTGAGTTGGCATGTGTGACTGGAAATTACATGCACTATAAAGAATACTAACGACGGCATGTTGTAGCACCGCGGGCTGCGGTTGAATATAGACCTCGCATTTGTTAAGGTGTCTCTTAAGAACAGACTGTATGTCAAAGCTACATTATAAATAAAACCATATGAAATGTAGATGAAACACTAGCAGACAAGGTAATGGCCTACTTAAATAGCTGGCGTTAGAGCATCGATGTTCCCTCTCGATGACGTGCGATATGTGCTTTGGCACCTCTGGAGGAAAATGGCAGACTTTGGCATGCTCCACGCTGTATTTAGCTGTCATTGCTGATTTTCTGGCCCTTGATGATGATGGGCACGGTTCAGAATATGCAATTCCCGTCGCCGGTGCATGATACCGTTTTACATTACATGTTTTTTTTATTCATTAAATAAGTGCACTTTACACTTTCTAAAAAAAACAAAATTGACCCGATGTGGCAATCAGCGTTAACCTCTGTGTCTGTCATCTTATGAGACTGAATGAGTTAAAAGAGAATCCAGAAGAGCACTTGGTGAGCACAATCCTCCAAGGCCAATTTCCTGTCTTGCAATTATGATATTAAGTAAGCCATCCAAATCTGCAATGGCTTCTTTCTTCTACAGCGCTCTTCTTCTCCACCAACTTTCATGAAATGCAGACAAACGGCGATGAAAACACCTTTTGCCTTGGCTCTCACCTTGGTGCACCAATCGCACATTAAAGAGGCAAAGCGTGGGCATTTTGTGTGTTTCGGGAGCTAATTGGGAGTTTACTGTGCTTGCATGTAATGTCTAGTTTGTAAAGAAAAGAAACACACCCAGTCATGACATGTGAAGTGTTTCAGAAAACCTGTAATGTACCTTTTTTCCCGTACACTGATTTCGAGATGTGGAGCTTCGGCGAATTTTTGCATGAGGCCTCTTGGTGTGGCGTAAACCTCCTGGAAGCTGTGGAGAGGTTTTAATCAAGTGTGAAATCCTTTTGGGGTAGATGCCTACACGACTGTGCTTGTGCTTAGAAGCGTACTCCTCAAACCCTCTCTCCAGCTCTCTTCCCATGAACATCTTTTGTAGCAAGAGTCCATTTCGCTGCAGTGATGCATACAGACAACGCTCTTAGCGGAGCTGAGAAAATGAAACTCCAATCATCATGCATGAGGCAGTATACACACACACACACAGAGAAAGAGAGAGAGAGACATACACACTGTTGTCTTAGTTGCCTGTAGTTTCTTCTAGCTCCGAATTCAGTTTCCTTGTTTTTAATCAAGCGAAAAAAGCGTGGTTCATTCGTTTGAAAAGAATCTTACTTCATTGACATTGACCTAGTAAACAGAGAGAAGAATTTGCCACTTAAGCATAATGATATAATTAAGCATGAATAAGGCAGATCATTGCTCAATTGTGAAGTAAATATTCTAAATAGACTAAACATCTAGCTATTTAGGATTACAGGAAGAACGAGATTAACCGCGACAATAGATGAAGCTGTGCATTCTTCATTGGCCAATTATTATTTTGATGAACAATAAGACAATTGTGTGTGGATTAGCCATTAGAAATGTGTATTTCAGACAAAAAAGGGGGGAAAAAAACCCCCAACAACTTTGATTCATTTTTATTAAACAGTAGCTGCAGTTAAAAATTTGGGGAGTTAAAAATTTTAACAAATGAACCGTCTGACTTTGGCTTCTGATTGACTGAAACCTTGGCAAACGAGACACAGTTTTTCCAGCCTCAGAGGTCTGACATTTTGTGGGATAATTATCTTGCCACTGGTCATGAGTACAATACTGATGGTATGTTTCATAGGCTTACTGTCAAGCTGGCATTTCCCCCTATTAGCTGTGAACTCTTATTACTGCCTCTAATACGTCATCTCTTGTGGTTGCATCATTCACATGCACGAACATCTTTCTGTTTGTTGTCCGCGTGCATGCAGGACGGAGCGTGATGCTTTCTCTGTGAACACATTTGCTCCTATTCACACTCTGTCCTGTAGCCACTAAACAAGATGGGGCATTGGTGATGGATGCATCCTTTCATGGTGGCATTACAGTAATGCATTTATCACAGCAATCAAAAGTTTACATGGCAGTGACATCACAGACGCACGGATCTTAGTTGTCTGTCTCCTCTGCAGACATTGATCTGGCTGTCCCAGCCTGAGTCTGAGGGGATAACAAAGATAAATTGAATGGTATTTCCTTTTAATCTGGGCTGTATGTTTAGCTTGTCAACAGGTGGGCTGCTTAACAAGTCTATTGGCTGCCAGCTGCACATTTCTGATGAGCAAATATATGAGTTCCTTGGTGCAGTTTGTGCTTGTGGAGCTGCGTGATAGTCTTGAGTGATAGCTGAGGCAAACTTATTTTGGAGCTTTCAGAGCTTATACATTAAAATGAGGTCACTGGGTCATGGACCCATTTATTTAATTAGGAACAGTTGTATAAAAAAAATGGGTGATAATCAAGGGCAGGGAACTCATTTCAGCACTGTCAATCAATAACTCATTCAACAATGGTTTTGGCCCAAAGGGATCCAGCTATTCCCTTTGTAACCAAACACTGCATATCTCCGGTATGTGTGGCTGTTGTATCCTGTTGCATTCTTGTAGTCTGTATTTACGTTGAAACATCAACATGCAAACCACATGTAATTGGAATTAATACATAGCTGTGGAACATGTTAATGATGTGATGATATATTACAAACATCGCAGATAAACTGCTGTTGGATTCTTCTAACTGACATAGACACAGCACGCCATCTCTTGAATGTATCACATCAGCTCGTGGACTACACACACACACAGTAGCGCTCATTACACAGTGCATAGCAACAGCTACATAGCAACTGCTGCCGACTGCTTAGCAACAGCTGCAAAGACCTCAAGAAGGGTGGGGGGGGTGGGTTTCATGGAGTGTTTAGGATGACACCATTTCAGTTCACAAATGCCTTTTTGCAACTTTTTTTTTTTAAATGAATATTGTTCCAGTGTTTGTCCCTGTGAAGCCCTCTCTGAAGATGCTGTTTTCTCTGTCCTGCCCGCAGATATCCGCTCCCTCCCTGATGTGGCAATGACTGGAAACTGTACAACCGAGTGCAGCGAATTGGGCCACTCAGACGCCTGCTGGATGCCCGGGCATCCCTCCCCTGTACGCAAGACCAGGAACCCCCCGAAACTCTCCACCTTCGTGCCTTACCAGGAGAGAGGGAGCCTGGGACGCCTGGCAAACGGGAGCGCCAGGCTGGGTGGCGAGGAGCACCGGTCGCGCCTTCCACCCTCCCGCAGTGCCTATTCCAGCAGTGGTCATGATGCCAATCAGGACTGCCCCTTAGAGGAGATGCCCCTGAGCGTAGCCTCTGAGTTTCCACCCACCTCCCCTTCTACCCACACTCCAAAAAGAGAAATTTACCTGTGAGGGAACACATTCATCTGATCGATACATACATGAAGAAAAGATAACACCCACTTCAGAAGGAGAAACAGGCTGTCCACATGCTAAAGCCAATGCCCGTTTTGTAGGTAACAATAGGCTGTGACTCATCCAATCACTGGCATGAACACTTGTTTTTGTCATTTCCTCCTTAAATTATTAATTTATTAGCATATTTATTAATGATGCCACAAAGTTAATTGATGCACTCACTCATTTATTTATTCGAAAAAAAAAAAAATCTTGAAGGATACAATTCAGACAGATGAAAAGGAAATGCAGATGGTAATTGCTACTTTAGTAGGTACTAATTATCGTTGTAGTTAGCCAAGTCCCATTCTGTGAAGTGATCTCTTGAATTTGAAAGTTGTGATCAGTGCTCTTGTGCCATTATTAGATATAATTTAATAGCCAGCCAGTCGAGGCCATATCAGAAGGCATAACACTTTTGACTAACAATCAAATGAAAATGGTCTATCTTAATGTACAGTGCTGTAAATACATTTGAATGGTGTGTTCTACATATATTTTTGTCTGGCATAAGCTGAAAAAAATTGCCTCAGAATTTTAGCATATTTAAGCTTTTCTTTACTGCTGCTGTTTAAACTTGATTGAAACCATCTCCCGGCGTGGAGCTCGATATTGTGGAAGGCATTTATCCGCTCCACACAATCTCACACACACACACACACACACACAGACACACACACACACACACACACCTTCGACCCCTAATCATAGTAGAATGGCCTTTACCTCTGCTCCCTGTAGAGCTCTGCCACTGGTGGAGAGAGCTGTGTGGCAGCATTTAAACTGACATTATGTTCCACTGACTCGCAGCACTGTGACCTATCGTTCATCATGAAAACGGTTGACTTGGCCACAGTACCCCCAGAGTCACAATGACCAAACGCCGAGTGCTCACCAGACACATTCTGATTGGCTTTTCACCCCGTTGATGAGATTATAGCGGCGCATCAGTTTGGAAAAAGGCTCTCCTCTGTTGTGACAATCAGATGGGCTCTACGTGGAAGTCGCAATCTGTTTTTTTTTTTTTTTTTCCTTCCTCTGAAGCTCATAGTGGCTTCCCCTCACTATACATGAGAACTTGTATAGATCTAATGAATGCCTGAGGAATTATTTACATGAAAGAGCACTTGAGTGTTGAGAGCCACTGGAGAGATCGAGTGCTTACGGAACTTAAAACCACACTGATATAAACTAGATAGGCGCTCTAGTGTCAGACTACCTTTTTTTTTTCTTCCCCCCCTTCACTAGATATATACTTCTTCAGAGGTGAATTCGATACTCGGCTTGAAGAACCCACCCGCTGAAAAGAGTGAATTAAAAATGTGGACCTGCTATGATGGATTCCAAAAAGAAGAATATTAGAAATGAATATTTGATTCCATATCAGTAATTAATATCTGGAATTGTTGAGCTCCGGCGTAGGGTTTTACAGTCGGAGTCATCCTCGATTTACGGCAAGTCCTGTTAATTATAATTTTCCTTGTATTGAGGACAACATGCTTAATAAGTTATTAGGCATTTTTCCTCCTCTGGCTATTGAACAGAGAATAAAAATAGGGCATGCCCGTGGGCTTCATTTATCTTTACAAAGATTTTCCAAGTGAATCTGAAGGATATGTCTGAAGGACACTATGTATTAGTCAGTAATTGGATGTTAATGATGACTCCACTAGCCTGCCTTACAACATCGTCGAGCTCGTCGGTGTCTTTGATTTAAACATTGATTTGATTAGATTTGTAGATACCTTTCACCTCTGCAGAGTATTTCCATAGTGAGATTGTGTCTCTGAGTAAGGGTGGAAGAGCTTAGAATGGACATTTCCTAATTAGGGTGAGTAATGAGTCCTGAGCTAGGGCATGTGTGAGCACACCCCCAGGACAAGGCACCCACCAGATAATGCAAATCCACCCACGGAGCTACAATCAGTTAAAAGGGGTATTTTTATCAGCACTTATCTCATCATGCTGCCATTGAAAACTGCATTTAGAATAATTAAACTGAAAACATATGGAAATTACTGGACATGGCCATGATTAAATAAGGTGGGCGATTATCCTGCCTTGAGGGGGAGAAAGCACATTATGCCGTTTTCAAAGCCATTTAGCGACTGAAATAAAATTCAAACAACAGCCATGATACACTGTGATTAAACCCCCACGGCTCCCCCAAGCGCCCCTCTCAGAGCTGTGGATAGCCGCTTCACGAACTGAAAGCAGCGGGTAAGATCACTGACCTGGAATTAATGACAAGTGAGAAAGATAGCAACGAGTGATAAAAACCAATGTCACATAGCCTCAATCACAACTTTATCTATTTAAATGCTTTGACTCGATTCAGATTCACGACTGCTTTCACTTCCAGATTCACCTCTGGGGTTAAATTTTAACCTGATTCCAGCCTACGTGTCGCTTTAGTGAATCTGGAACGCCGCCTCCTGATTTTGTCTCCTTATCCGCAAACTACATGAAACAAAACGGAGGGTTTCGTCAGTTGTTGATTCAAAGCGAAGGACAGGAGTTTGATTTAAGCCCTCTGCAGAACAAAAACAAGCCTGGGCCTACTTCCCCACCACCACCACCCCCCCACCTTCTCTTGATGAGTCGGACTCTTTTGCTCCAGCCAATAATGACCTCCTGCTACTCACTTCTGGAACAATATATCACCAGGTTTGACCTTTCTTTTGAACTCATGCTGAATGAACTGTGTTTACTTCTCTCTCAAACACAGAACAGCCTCTCCTTGATCCAAACTAAGAGGACATCACGAAGCACCTAAACACACTCGAAAGTATGTTGAATAATGTTTAATTTGTACTTAACATTGATTTAATGTTGAATTCACTTGAGTATCTTTTTGCCTCTCTGTAGTGTGTATTGTATGGTGATCATTTCTGTGGACAGATGGACAAATTACCGTACCGAAATTGGCAAGGGATTAGAACAAAATAATAATAATAATTGGGTTTTATTTTATTTTTTACTGATCAAAGACTCTTAGCAAAGTGGTTGTGTGAAAAAATAAAGAAATCTGTTGGTGGTGTAGTGTACATAGATCTCCACAACCCCGTGTCTGCTGTCAGGCAGGCCGTGATTTTAGCATGAATTCCAAAGATAATTGGTAGAAACTGTTTACTCTTTTCTTTTCTTTTACTTTTCTGAAATGTCAGTGCTGGTTCATATTCAAAAGGCCCTCTCTCCCAAACGAACTGAAATTAACTGAACATTTCATCTTTTTCACAGTTCATCTAGAACAAAGACAATTGCCTTGAAAATATGTCTTTGCAAGAGAGAATCTAGTTGTTATCCTAATTGTTGGTATATTTATATAGGATAAAAATGCTTGTGATGCCATGTTTTTGTACAGTTTTATGTACATACAAGTGAAGCTTTCTAAAAGTTCTGAGAAAAGCCGATGGCATATAAAAATTGTAACATGTTTTCTTGAGATGTGCACATCTTGCCTTGGTTGGATTGACCTTTGCTGAGTCAGTGTGAATGTGGCCGTTCTATGCCTGCACTGTAGTCATTCACCGGCTCCCACCTCCTGAGGACTTAATCAGTTTTTATGTTTATTGTGAACAGTGGATCGTCTTATCTTACCAGTTTGTTAAAACTCCTGTGTTCTGCTTTGTTCCGTTTCCGCATGTTGACAAATTCTCTTGTAATACTGTAAGTCCTCATGAACTTTGTAATAAAATCACTTCAGGGAAAAAATGAACGCTGTCAGTGTTTTCCTTGCATTCTATTATTATTCATCACTTTTTGCTGTTCAACAAGCATGTGGTTGTTACATTTTTATAAGAGCTTTTTGCAGCCTCGGAGCTACGTTGTGTAACATGTGTCTCACTCTAGGACCTAGGCTCATTAAGAAGAACTAGTATTCTTGTCATGTGGGGACCAGTGCCTCATTTCTAAGTCACCAAGCCCCAGAATGTTGAGAGAGAAGCATTCCAGGGCTTGAAGGAGGAGAGTCCCAGGACCTGTGCTCACTACTTCAGCTGGAAAAAAAAAAAAACAACAATGTGCCAGAAGTACACAGTCCCCCATCACGCACTTAGCTTGAAACAGAACATTTCTTCAAAGCGCTGATGAGCTGCCCAGTGCTACACATTTAGCGCGGGGCTTACAAGGCTGCTGTTCCGTGATGTTAATTTCGAGCTGTCTGTGCGCCTTTGCTTAAAGTCAGAGAGAATAGAATTTTTTTAATGAACAATAAGCTACGGTTGGACGCATTCACTGAAAGCGGGAGCCCATTCGATGTCCGGATGTTTACGCTCTTCGCGTTCCTACTGTGTTTGATCGTTGGCACATAAGCTGTGAACTTAATTGACTTAATCATTGTTGCACAGATACCATATTATTTAATTATGTGTGAACTGCAGTAATGTAACATGAGTGATTAAGCAATTTAAGGGCCTCTTTCACAAACAGCGCTCCGAGAACCAAGTCTTGTGCCTCTTTTCTTTAATGCAAACCTCGCTGTGCCATCTCTCACACATGAGATAATGTAGTAGAACACGCCATCATGCCTTTCACTCTTCGTTGCCTCTTGCCGCGCTCAAGGAATTGTAGTCCTCGTGGGGTACATAAATGTTAAGAAAAACCATGTGCTGTAGAATGATTACGATGTCAGAGGGATGGACAGTTCTCGGAGTAACTTCCAGAAGAGAATGACAAGAGACTGTCGTAAATGAGAGGCAGCGGAACAGTTCTGAGAGTCTCGTCGTCACGCGAGCAGCTCTGTGAGGCTCGCTGTGAAGAAAACCGTTGCACAGATAAACACCGAGGTCTGAAATGTAACGCGCAGTTTCCTCCCCTCCCTTTCGTTTCCCCTGCAGTCGTTTTAATGTGCTAAAAATTATCTTTTTCCTCACTGACTGACAGTATCAGCCCGTTCCAACTCTTCATTAACTCTACATCCCGATTACCCTGAGATAAATACTCAAACACAAGTG